TAGTGTCCGGTAAGTGTAAACTCAAAGCTTGGGACTCGGAGAAAATTTCCAATGTGCTGAGAACACGGTTTGGTACACAAAAATATTGTCTAGTCCTGCTTTATATTCATTAAATTGGCAAGTAAACAAAAATATTATTTTCTCGATTCAATTATGACCGTTCATTTCTCGTGCTATTGAGTAGTCCGGATTACTAAAAAAATTGGTCTTTTTGATAATTTGGTAATTTCCTTTTCTACCGTGGTTACTTAGGTGACGCACGTCATAAGTATTTGAGTGTTCGGTAAGTGTAAAACTCAAAGTGTGCAACTTGGAGAAAATTTTCAATGTGATAAGAACATAGTTCAGTACACCAAGTGTCATAATGTAATTGGTTAAAATTTTCTTTTTCAGGTTTCCAACCAATTCTATTACAACACTTCGTGGATCGTATTTCAGAAAAATGCATCCGTGAAACGTGGCAACATCCCATGCAATAGTACGATCCAACAGCAAGAAGAAGAAGCAGGTTCCTAGTTCCTAGTTCCTAGTTGTATAAAATGAATTGAATTGGATTGGTCACAGAAGGAATTGGCTAACAAAAGCAATCAGGATTCAGGAATAATCAGCAGCAAAAGCAAAAGCAAAAGCCATGGATCCCTACTTCCAGCAGAGACTAAGAGATGAAGTCATCTACCTCCACTCTCTCTGGTACCAGGGTCCCCCTTCCTCCTCCTCTAATCCTAACCCTAGACTCCACCAACCCAATCCCTATCCCAATCGCAATCCCAATTTCAATCCCAATCCCAATCCCAATCCCAATCCCAATCCCAATCCGTATAACAGACCCAGACCCAGAAGAAATGTTACAAACCCCTCGCAACCCGACCCCCTTCCCCAATCGGGTCATCAAGGCCCCTCCTCCTCCTCCTCTAAGAGGAAGAGAAATAGAAATTCAAGGCACGAAAGAGAAAGACCGGCCAAGAAGAACCCCTCCCAACCCGACCCGCTTCCTCCGCATTCCGGGCCTCCTTGGCCCTGCCCCAGCCCCGCCCGTGACTCTGCCCCGGGCTCATCCACCCAGTGGCCTGCAATGCCCGCCAAGCCCAATTCGGCTGCGGTGGCCCAACCCCCTTCCCCTGAAGAACAAGCAAGGCTCGCTGCACTGAAACTGCAGCACGGCGCCCTAGACTTTTGCCGGGGGTTGTTTTCCGGCAATGATGGGTCGGACGGGGAGGAGTCCGAGGCGGAAGAGAGTGAAGATGGAGAGGACTACTGTGTTGAGAACGGCGAAACAGAGGAGTACAAGGTGCTGTTGAATTTGTTTGTTGAGAGGACTGAGCTGAGGAGGTACTATGAGGTGAATTATGAGAATGGGGAGTGTTGCTTGGTGTGCGACGTGTTGGGAAAGAAGAAGAGGGTCAGGAGCTGTGTTGGGCTTGTTCAGCACTCGATTTCCATTACCAACACGAAGAAGAAGCGGGTTCATAGGGCTTTTGCACAGGTGGTGTGTAAGGTTTTGGGTTGGGATTTTGACAGGCTGCCGACGATTGTGCTCAAAGGCGAAAGGCTCGGTCTTTCGTTGGAGAACCAGGGCCAGGAACAAGTAAGTGGGGTTTTTTTCATTGTTTAATATTGCTTTGTGGTGGTGGTTGTTTTGGTGTATATGAATTGGGTTGAGTTGCGAATGCTGCAGGGTGAGGCTGCCGTGAATGCTGGTTCATCTGAGGGAGTTTTGGTTTCTGTTGAAGACAATGTGGCACTTGAAAATGCTATGGAAGCTGAAATTGCTTTGGAAGACAATGTGGCATCCGAAAATGCTGTGGAAGACAATGTGGCACCCAAAGACGCTATGGAGGACGATGTAGCACCTGGAGACGCTATGGAAGACAATGTTGTAACTGAAAATGCTAGGGAAGATAATCTGGCAGCCAAAAATGCTGTGGAAGACAATCTGGTAACTAAAAATGCTATGGAAGACAATTTGCCAGCCGAAAAGGCTATGGAAATCGAAAATGCTGTGGAAAACAATGTGGTAGCAGAAAATGCCGTCGAAGGCAATGTGGCAACTGAAAATTCTGTTGAAGAGATAGTGACAGCTGAAAATGCTGACGAAGATATTTGGTTTGCTGAAGCCAATGCTTTGTGTAATGAAGTAATGGATTGCCAGGTTAGTTATGTCTTTCGCTGTTTAACGTAATTTTTGGTGCATGAGTTGTACATGAGTTTCAGACATAACAAAATGTGAATTTTTTTTGTAATGTGATTTCTGATATGGGATATGTTTTTTCAGAAATCTTTCGAAGGTGATTATACAAATGAAAGCACAGAAAGCATGGATAAAGGAATATCAGAAATGGAAGCAAACAAAGAAACAGTGGATACTTGGGTAAGATGATTGCTCTTACAACAACAACAACAACAACAAAGCCTTTTCCCACTAAGTGGGGAAGATGATTGCTCTTAAATTGAACTAAATTGATAATCCACTTTTCAAATGAACTAGTTTTCGTTTTTTTTTTTTTTTTTTTCCCTTTTTTCTTTTTAAATTTTATATTTGATTTTAGCACCCTGCCCAGGGCTTTGTTGGTTAAAATAATTTAATGGCATACGTGCCTACTGCATTTTTTGTTAAAATCATGTGTTATCCAAAAATTTGTATTTTTACTCACTTTTGTAAAATGCAGGGAACTGATCAAACACTGGTGTCAAAGAATGAATGGCCATGTAAAGAGTCCAGCATTTCCTCATCGACAGTGTTAGGTTGGCCGACCTGTACTTCTCCCCCAGCTTCTGCAACATGCTCTATTCCAGTGGAAGAACAAGCGAGGTCTGCTGAAGCGAGGATACAGCAGAAGGCCTTGAAAGAATGCCTGGATTTCTTTTCTGAGAAAGATGGCTCATACAGTGATGAAGACAACAGCGAAGATGACGAGGAGGGTGATTTGATGGATGAAGATGGGTGTGAGGAAAGTGAGCTAAAGTTCTTTTCAAGAATATTTACGGAGGATGGTGAGTTGAGGAGTTTTTATGAGAAAAATTACGAAGGTGGGGAATTTTGCTGTTTGGTTTGTTGCGCATTAATGAAGAAAGGGTGGAAGAGGTTTAAAGGTGGTGTTGCGCTTCTTCAGCACTGCAATGCAATATTAAAGACAAAGAAGAAGGCGGCTCATAGGGCTTATGGGCAGGTTATTTGTAAACTCCTTGGTTGGGATATTGGTCAGCCTCCAACCATTGGCTCCATGGATAAAACTCTTGGAGAACCTTTGTCAGAGTCAGACAATTTGCCGGTCAGTAATATGTGCGTATGATATGTTGACTATGGTTCTTCAGTTCTATAAGTATTGTAAATTTGAACATTGCAGGGTGAAGTGGAGGAAAATGTTGACAATGACAAGGATAACATGGTTGTATCAAATGAAAATGTGGACTGCATGAGTGGTTATAATCGTGAAATGGTTTCAAATGAGGAATCTGATGTTGCTCACAGTAACGGAACATCACAGACACCCGAGATGCAGGTCAGTTTCAACTTGTTCTTTCCTCAACAAAGTCAAGTGAATCGCATATTATTATTTTGTGCTTACTGACGTGTATATACATCATAAATTCATAGTAACATTTCAGTAACTTGGATCTCATTTTAAAATTGCAGGGTGTGCCCGAGGAAAATGTGGTTGTTTCAAATGAAAACATGGACTCTATCAGTGGTTATAATGGTGAAACAGTTCCAAAAGAGGAATCTGATGGTGCTCATGGTGATGGAACATTTACGGTACCTGGGTTGCGGGTGAGTTTGAACTCAGTTGTTCACTCCTCAACAAAGTCAGGCGAGTCGCAGGTTATTTTTTCGTTGGTGATAATGTGTATGTCATACATTCATAGTTACATCTGATTGTTAAAACTTGGTTATAATTTTGAAATTGCAGGCTGAACCTGACAAAAATGTGGATGGTCGAAGTGAAGATTTGAATGTCTTTATGGAAAATTTAGAAACAGCGGTAATGTTGACATAACTCCCAAAGAGGTACGTGTTTGGCAATCTTAGTTATATTCGAGTGCAACGACATCGCTTTTCCCGGCAGGACAATCCTAAGAGAGATCAGCTTGGTCACAATGACGATTCGGTTTATCGATCATCATTTAAGTTGATCTTGTGAATCAATAGTAGAATTTCATGTGGCGCTTGTTGTAAATGTTAACTTAGCTAAAGCTTGTGCAAGGCCATTCTTCAATGGATGTGTTGAATATATGCATTTGTCCTTTTGAAAGAGTTTCTTTCTTTTATTGTGACGGTCGCACTTCCACGTTATGATGTCTCTTGTTTGCATAAGAGATTGGAAAGTTTTGAGTTCGGTTGCAATGGTACTTACTAAACAGTACAAATTTTAATCAAAATCCAACTGGTGGAAAGATTCTTTAGATTCCTGTATGCAAAATCAAACCGTTGGTTTTCTAAATCACTCAGTGATACGTACTACCAATTAGCACCATTTAGCGAACTTCGAAAATTTCAAGTTCGTGGCCCAAGATTACAGATCTAGAACTTGCGGCCTCAGATATGGACTTGGAACTTGCGATCTAGACTGAGATTCCAAACTCCAAACATCGAATCCAAGACATTGAAACTTGAAAACCAAGTCCCAAGTAACCCAAAACCTGAACCAAATATGATTTGATTTTGAATCTAATCAAATTTCAATGCAACAACTCCCAGTGTGCTTCAATTGGGTGCTCAGACCTTCGCAGAAACTTTTCATCGTCCATGTTTGCGACTAAGGCCCTTCGGCACAATGGCTTCAGGGATCCTAATATACGAAAAAATCTACACTACTCCGCCTCATAGAGCCCTTAGATCCAACCCAACGGATTCAAAGGAAAATGGACAACCATTGGACCGGATCGAAGGGATCGTCATGGCAGAGTATTCAATAGCCCGGAAGCTTTTAGCTTCAGTGTCATATCTTGAGGTGAAAAAAATCAAATCTTTCATTCAAAGCCATTGAGATGCAACATGAACGGCAAAACCGACCCCATTCAACATTTTACAATTATTTTTAAAATTACATATATTAAACACCACCAATGATTTCAACAGCAGCCCATGACATAATCATACAAAAGCAACATTTACATGATAAGCATCGTCCAACCGAAGCCGAAACTGAACCGTTGAGTTTTCTTACATAATGGAAATCTCCACAGGCACCAGCACCGGCTCTTTAAATAAACATTTAAGAGAAAAAAACAATACAAAAGAAATTATCTTACTCGCACGCCAGTTTGGTGCCAAAGCTGGTAAGGCAAATAGCAAATGCCTGGAACGCTGACAAAGGCTGCCTATAATCCATGGTAAATGTATCATCACCCACTTTCCCGAACTGGAGAGCCGTTTCTTCGTCTCCTTTCCCTCCTGGCTGGCTTGGGTCCACAGCTGCAACCAGTTGAAAGTTCTTTACTGATGCCACCGTGACCCGACCATGGAAATTCAAACACCAGCACTGCAACTGATCATGCCATCTTGGAGCTTTGTTCCTCAAAAAGGTGTAACCAGAACTTGTAGAAGCTGTTTTCTTCAACTTTAAATTGTCCAAAGGTTTTCCAATGGCAGTTTCATCTGATGGTGGGCAAATAAGCGGGCAAATCATCCTCCTTGGACCTCTTGATTTTAGAAGGTTGAACTTGTAAGAGACCTGCCCAACTTCAAAGTTGCCTGCCGGAACTTGGGGGCTTATTTGCTTGCTTGCAAAACGACGAGTAGACCTACTGCTAGCAGGCTTTGCACCACTATGCGGTGGCTGGCTGTCATAGATTGTAAAATTGGTGCCCAGAAAATCGGAGCTGAAAAAGTTTAAGAAACCAAGTTAACATTCAAATTTGTTCTTTTAATTCAATGTAATGAAACCTCCTAAAAAATCAGTCAAGCTGATTCTGAATTCTAAAAAATGAGATCATGTCAACCTAACTTGGTATAAAACCTCTTACAGACATTCCAAAAAAGGGTCCCCTAACTTAACTTCCTTTCCCAAGAATGTCTTACCTTAATTTTCCCACATAAGCATTACTTCCTTGGGATATGTCATCAGCATCAAGTGATATTATATACTCATAGTTAGTGCCATGCCTGTATCTCCGTGCTGCTAAAAGAAACTTTCCCTTATCGGTGAATGCTGGGAAGGGGAGAGGAAAAAAAATATCACAGGAGAATGAGAAAACATTCAACCTTTAAGCATCCATGCAAGCTGTCACGAGCCACTCACATAAAAAGTATCAAATAAAACAAAAGTTTAACTCCACTGTATTCAATAGGAGTATTAAGTAGGAAATGAGAGTTACTATAGTCCCGATCTTCTGCACAACTAAACGACTACCATAAATAATAATTTGTCTGTGTCACAAACCAAAAGACTCTCAGTAAGATAAACCTTTCAAACTTAAAAGTCTACTCTACAAAAGTAATTTTCAGTATTGATCAAGTGCTCCTCCAAAATTTTTTCTTCAGCAAATGGTTAACAGTTTAAAACCTATAACTCTCTAATTGTTAGAGCTAAACCTGCTCTTTACATGTAATTAGGTTAGGAAAGGCTGCGAACCAAATTGATATAAAGTCAAAAGCTATGTAAGACCAAGATATTAAAGGTTTTGTTTGACAATTCTGAGATTGCCCAGATCCTGCTGAGTCAAGTCAACTTAGCAATTCAATCACCCGGAAAAATCTTCCATTTTTTCCGTCACATTAAAGTCAACTTAAATAGGGTTGGCCCAAGAAATTGTCCCCCTTCGAGTATTGACTTGGCGACTTACAGGTCAAAATTTGAAATAGTAAAGGTAAAACAGCTTCTGAAGACACATAGGAGTAAGTAATCCTGAAGTTGTTCTCATGTACATACTTACATGAGGTAAGTGCAAGATAAAGGTAAAACGTTGAGGTCTTCTTGTTTCGTTTTATTAGACATTGGTGGGGAAAATCGCGTGGTCCTGGCTGCAAGAATGACAAAAGTGTAAGATCATCAGTTTCAGATCAATTTATTAAAAACACTAAATTTAAACCACTGAACACGATCCCATTGTCAATGATAAACCGGAAGCAACTTAATATTAAAACTTCAATCTCACTTCAAGACATGACTGAAAACAAGATAACCAGAAGCATAAAAGAAACAATCTTAAAATTTCATTCTCTTTTCTCCGTACGGACTATCATTAGAGTATAACAATAATCTGCCAAAAAATCCATAATTTCTTCATTAACAGTTTAGATTTTAGTTCTGGTAAATGGAGACATAACTTAGTATGGGGAATTTCATAAAATTCATTGTTTTTCAGACAAAACACAAGATTCAAAACACTATACGAAATACAAATATCTGGGTATTTTCTGGGAAGAGCATGTATAAATTTCGAACTTCCAAATTCTTGGTTAACAAGCATACACTCATACCCCAAAGGGGGAACCAAATCAGCTGCAAAATGGGGAGAATATTGATTAAACCCACAAAAGGATATAAATGTGGTGTTTCAAGGCATGCAACTTCTTAACAATGCACATTCTCCAAATCTTGCTATTTTTTCCTCAGAATTACGCAAATTCACTCTGATCACAGATGAAGCCTGCGATCCAATAAAGTTTTAAGCTAGTTCATATTCCTTGATCTTGCGAATTGTGATCATCCAAGAAAATACGCTTATAATTGCAGACTTCAATAGTAAATTTCATTTTTGAAACCAATCACGACGTCGTACTCAAAGGGGGAACCAAAACAGCAGCAAATGGGGAAGAATGTTGAGCTAATCCCGCAAAAGGATACAAATGTGGTGCGTTTCAAAGCATACACCTTAAAAATGCACATTCTTTGAAAGTCACTCACTTTTTTCAAAATTCACTCTGTTCACAGATGAACCCCCTTGGCATCCCAATCAAAGTTTTCAGATTCCAACAGTGAATTTCACCATTAGTTTTTGGGAAACTGCAGAATGCGAAATCTTCCAGGAAAAAAAACAACTTTCCACACAATCATTACCGATCTTCTAAAAACTATTCAAATTCCAAATTACACAAACTCATTTAACCTAAATTCTCCTAAAAACTAAACAAACAAATCGAAAATTACATCGCCAAGGGCATACCTGTTTAAGGCACGAAGGGAAGGTAATTTTGCCACTGTACGAAGGAGACCGCGCGATCTCCTTGGTGATATCCCTCCACCGCTTGCAGACACAGGCACAAGCGACGACGTTTTTGCGGTGAGGCCACTTGTCCTCGCTGGCCTCCACTCTCCGTATGATCTCACCGAGCAGCTCCGGGAGCATATCCGACCACGAAGACGACGACGGCGATGAAGATGAGTCAGCACAGTCCGAGTCGCGGACGACTCGGCGGTTGCCCCCACGCGCCTGATCCTCGTCGCTGAGCTTCAATTCCCTGAACGATTTGGAGAATTTCCGGGAGCGAAAGGCTTTCCGCAGAGACATGGGTTCAGATTGGGGCTCTAGGGTTAGGGTTCCGATCTCGAACTTGCTGGTAAAGAGAAGCAGTTTTTTCTCCTTACAGAGAGAAAAGAGAGCGAGAGTGGTAGGGGTTGATGATGAATGGGAGAAAATGAGTTTTGATAGAGAGCCGGGGCTGTGACGGGTGATATTTTGGAGGCCAATGGGAGAACGAGGATTGGACGCGTGGGGAGATGGGATGTGGTGGTGAAGGGGCGTTGGGTGACGGGGATGTGAGGTTAGTGGTGTTGTCAAAGTGTGGTGGGCGTTTGACTGGTCCTATTCAACGTTAACAGCTGAAACCCGTTCGCGGCAGAGTACCGTAACAGTGACTGCCATTTATGGCTTATACTTTGTGTCTCATATTTGTTGTAGTTCTATTTTGGTTAGGAATGTGATTGTGTAAATATAATAAATCGTTATAGAAATCTATAATGTTTTTCGATAGTTTTATTTTATTGTAATGTATTACTTGAAAGATGAGAATATTTTAAAAATAAAATGATTGTCTAATTCTAATAATTTATTGTCACTTAGTACAACATCTAGTGTTATTATTTTTTATTTGTAAATGAGATGTTTTAGTTTCATTCTCGCCTAAAACGAATTTGAACCACATTATTGCTAGCTCATTGTGACTTAGTGGAGATAATATCATTTGTTCAACAAACAAAAAAAATCAATAATTTATTCTTAATTAAGGATAAATACGAATTTTAGCATAACCAACTACGATATTGAAACAATATTATTCTTAGTATTCTACAACCAATGGGATAAAATTAGTGGGACTAGGTCTGTCTTTCCTTAGAATGTATGAAACTTTTTCATCTTCCGCAGAAAACCTTCTTCGCATGACGCAATTTTTTGTATTTTCCAAAAACGTCTTGAATCAAAAGATATATTGTCAAGGCGCCGTGTGATACCTGATCCTTCTCTTCTTGCCTAACTCCTTATCTCTTATTTTTGCTCTATCTCTAGCCTTGTCTTGCTCCATATTCAGTGCATGTTGGCGAGCCAATTTGAAAATTAATTTTAGTAATCATTATTTGAAGAATTCCTTCTTGCAACTCTTTTCTTAGCAACCTTCTTACAAATAGGCCTCGAGGTTTCTTGGGTTTGTGTGAGCAATTCAATTGGGGTTTCCTATGGTGCCTCCAATGATGATTCTTGACATGCCCCGATCCCGATGTCCGAAGGACAACATGATGGTCATATGCTGGCGACACCCGAGGTGACGCAAGCTATTTTATGAATGCATGTGCCAAGAACATGTGAAACATGCATATAAATTTTGCGCATAACTACTTAATGTAATATTCAAATACAACTTTAACAAAATAATATAATAAGTTCAACTGCCAACAAGATAATAGTGATAATGCATGACATGTTCAGATCATATTACTAATTCAAAATACAAGCTGTTGATGCACAAAATCAGTGAGGACTTTGGTACAACAAAAAGTGTTAAGTTTGTGACCTTCACTAGATTGCTCCGGTCACTAGTGTGAATAAGTATGTAAATGGATAGGGACAGGGAAGCAAACACAAGATGTACATGGTTTACCTAGATTGGCTACGTCCACGAAGTAGAGGAGTTCTCATTAATTGTGAAGGGTTTACACAAGTACATAGGTTCAAGCTCTCCTTTAGTGAGTACTAGTGAATGATTTAGAACAAATGACATTAGGAAATATTATGAGAGAATGATCTCTATTTATAGAAGAGAGTTTCTAGTTTCATTTTGACATTGACACGTGTCGTGTTGTGATTTGCTTCTGATGTCGACACGTGTTGCGCTGTGATTGGCCTCCTGGTTGGAGGGAAACTCTTCTGGGTCCTTGACGGTATAACGTTGACTGGTGCTCAGTAGTTTCGGGATTGGTCAAATATGGTACAAACAATGCTCCCCTAAGTTCCCGAGTGAGGGAATCTCCTCGGTTGGGAACTTGCAAGATCCAAGCCATTGAGTAATCACGAAACTTCTAAGTACTGAAGTGTGGTATCATTTTCACTTGCCTTATCTGTCTCATATGTAGATGTGGCATCTTCTCTGGAAGTACTTTTCCTCCATCCAGGGGTGGTATCTTTAACCGATGAAGATGCACAAGGTAATGTATCAATTTCACTTGAAGCTTACTTGTAGTTTCGGGCTTGGTCAAGTGTGATACAAACCCTATAGTAGGAGTCCCCCCAAGTTGCCGAGCTAGGAGATTTGTCGAATGAGGTAACAGACAAGGTAATCAATCAGACTTCCAAGCAAACAACCTGGATTTGAGGTTAGACTTCGGCTTCCGATTGATTGTTCTCCTTCTCCTTGTATCGTAAACAGCAACAAGGATAAGGAGAAGCAAATGGAGAAGAGATGATATGAGATACTTTTGCTTTTGAAGAAGTAACTTTCCACATGCTTATTCTTGAACTAGGCTGGAGGGTTTTCTGGTTTCCTCTAATGTATAAGGCCGACTCAAGAATTTGAGGGTCAAAACAAGTCCTTCAAATCTAGAGTACGTTCGACCCTGATGATATGAGATACTTTTGCTGTTGACAAAGTAGTGGATGTATCGGAACGCGTTCTGTTACACTTGTCTCCACATGCTTCCTTGTATCATTCTCACTTGCCCTATCTATTCTTCAGGCAGATGTAGTATCTTATCTGAAAGCATAAGATGTTAAAGATGAGTACTCGAGAGCAATGCCAGGTAAGTAATCAGGCAAGGGGTTCCAGGCAGTCATTTCCTGACTGGAAGCTTGATTCCAAGTGCTGACTGATTGCTCTCTTTCTCCTTGTCTTGCAGGTAAGAATAAGGCCAAAGGAAAAGACAGGGAAAAAGCATGATATGGGATACTCTTGCTTTTAACCCTGATGATATGAGATACTCTTGCTCTGGTATGGCTTGTTTGCAGAGGTATTATCGGGAGAAAAAGAAGCTGAGTATTTCGAGAGACTCTGCTGAGAGTGCCCTCTCAGATGTGAAGAAAAGTTGAGCATTTTTTTTATTTGCAGGTCTGCCTGGCTGTGGAGGATGGAGGTCGACATATATAGGAGCCTCCCTAACAATAAGTAGTAGTGTTATTCCTTTACCCTTCTTGGTCATAGCAATGTAGTGGGAGCTGCAAGCTTCACGTGTTTTAACTTTGTCAGGGCACTTTGAAAAAGTGGTCTGTGGTATCTGGAAAGCTGATGTTGCATGTGAAGATTGCAGACAAGCTTTATCCAAGGAAATCTGGTTCTTGAAGTTCGGAGAGCGGTGCCTCTTCGGTTTTCGAACATGCAATCCTGTCGGGGATCTGGCTCTCGAGATTCCGAGAACGGTGCCTCTTTGATTTTTGAGAAAGTAATCCTGTTGGGAGTTTGACTCTTGAGATTCAGAGAGCAGAGTCTCTTCGATTTTTGAGAAAGTAATCATGTTGGGAGTCCGGCTCTCGAGATTCGGAGGGCGGTGCCTCTTCGATTTTTGAGCACGTAATCCTGTTAGGAGTCTGGCTCTCGAGATTCGGAGAGCGGTGCCTCTTCGATTTTTGAGAAAGCAATCCTGTTAGGAGTCTGACTCTTGAGATTCGGAGAGTAGTGTCTCTTTGATTTTTGATAAAGTAATCTTGTAGGGAGTCTGGCTCTCGAGATTATGAGAGCAGTGTCTCTTCGATTTTTGATAAAGTAATCTTGTATGGAGTCTGACTCTTGAGATTCGAAGAGCAGTGTCTTTTCGATTTTTGAGAAAGTAATCCTGTTGGGAGTCTGGCTTTCGAGATTCGGAGGGCAGTGCCTCTTCGATTTTTGAGCACGTAATCCTGTTAGAAGTCTGGCTTTCGAGATTCGGAAAGCGGTGCCTCTTCGATTTTTGAGATTGCTCTCGAGATTCGAAGGGCGGTGCCTCTTCGATTTTTGAGCACGTAATCCTGTTGGGAGTCTGGCTTTCAAGATTTGGAGAGCTGCGCCTCTTCGATTTTTGAGCAAGCAATCTTGTTGGGAGTGTTTTCTCGAATGTGAGTAAAGGTTGGGCATTTTTGCCAGTCTACCTTGCCACGGACCACGGAGGTTAACACACATTGGGACTTTCTAGTTATCAAGCAGTGGTGTTGTTCTTTTACCCTTGTGGGTAATAGTAGGGTAGCTGGATCTTCAAAATTTATGTGTCTAAACTTTGTCAGAGATCTTTGGCAAAATTATATGTGGTACCCGAGGAGCTGATGTTGCGTGTGGAAAGTGATGCCTCTTCGGAATCCGGAGAATGGTGCCTCTTCAATTTTGAACCAACGGCCTTGTTGCCCTTTCTTTTATAAGGGCACCAATTGTGTGCAAGAAGTACATTCAGAGAGTTATTGCTTGTAGGAATTTTCCCCTTACTTCAGAGATTTATTGCACCTCATTTCTCCTTCATCATTTCTGAGAATGTCTGGCCCATCCGACCGTCGTTTTGACTTGAACTTTGGTGAAGAGGTAGCCATGCCTTCTCAAGACAAAATATATCGCCCATCCTTCTTATCCCATACCGGTCCTCTTACCGTTGGGGACTCTATGATGAAGAATGATATGACCGCTGCGGTGGTGGCCAGTAACCTTATAACTCCCAAAGATAACAGACTACTTTCCAAACGGTCTGATGAGTTGGCTGTTAAGGATTCTTTGGCTCTCAGTGTTCAGTGTGTAGGTTTTGTGTCTAATATGGCTCAACTCCTATTTGCTCAAACCCGCCAAGTTGAATCATTGGCGGCTGAAGTGATAAGTCTCAAATAGGAGATCAGAGGGCTCAAGCATGAGAATAAACAGTTGCACAGGCTCGCACATGACTATGTTACAAGCATGAAGAGGAAGCACGACCAGCTGCAGGAATCTGATGGTCAGATTTTACTTGATCATCAGAGGTTTGTGGGTTTGTTCCAAAGGCATTTATTGCCTTCGTCTTCTGAGGCTGTATCGCGTAATGAAGCTCCAAATGATCAACCTTCGGTGCCTCTTCATTCTGGGGTTCTGCCTAGTACTGAGGCTCCGAATAATCACCTTCTGGTGCCTCATCTTTTTAGGGCTCTACCGACTGCTGAGACTTCTCCTGAGCAACCTTTGTGAAGGCTCATTCTT